TACCCTGTCCGAATATCGCAGACGTTGTATCATACCCCGACCCAGCATGAATGAACAGGATATATTTTTGTACCATGGGGTCCAAATTCGCATGTAGTTCTGAGAGTTTATAAGATTGGCCAGATGTTTTTGAGCTTCGATCTTCTTTCTGAAAATACACCTCTGCCATATCTGGTGACCAGTGGTGAATCAAGCTGATGAATATGTCTGTGTCCTCAGCTATAACTCTACTAAAACTCATAGTCCGCAACAGTTTTTGTAACTAAATTATCAGCATCATTGTCCGATTTAAATATTTTGTGTCCGCGCGATTCAAGTTCCAAAGCAAGAAATGCGATAAGACTTGATTTATTGCTAGTATTTCTGAAAAACTTGCCTCTGTCCTTAAATACACCTTTCTCACTTTCGACCCGGATCGATGGAGCCATTTTCCCACCCCGGCGATAATGCTCTTGATCCTTCGGGGATGATTCGTAACCATCGAAAACAACTATTACACGCCCGTACTTCTTTTCTATGAAACCATTATACACGTCTGCTAAATCGCCATACTTGATACCAGCAGTCCACTTCACTTGATACAAGAGCCATCCGCAATCTAGAACAGTAAGTAAACCAGAAGCTGTTTTTGATTCAGTATAAACATTGGTAATACTCTTATCAGAGATGAGGTGAGATTTGGTATTTTTGCGCATGAGATGGTCCTTGATCAAAGATACGGGTACTGTGGTCATCTCATACGAATGGATGGTGGATGGTTTCGTTACCTAGTTTTAATCCAGGTTGCAGGTTCTTCAAAGTCCGAACAGTGTCTGATTTCGTGACCTATTTTTTCAGCTTGATCACAGTTAATTTTATCGTCATCTTTGGCAGTGATTCCGGACGCTATTGACCGCAACGCCCCAGTTCCAATATAAAATGGATCATGAATATCCAACCATTCAAATTTCTTATAATCTTCGGAATCCCTTTTACACCGTGACTCGCCCAATTCCACATGTTGACAACTAGTTACATACTTTCGAGAGGTCAGTGTTGTCATCGCATCGTGTACATCGAGCATGTGCATTGAATGTATCCATTGCGCAATGACCGTAGGCTATCAGTCAAACCTCTTCCATGCGTTAGTCCTGATCTAGTTTTGAGACAATTGCAAATTTATTGTACAGCCTTGGATGTGTTGAAGACAATGAACGCATTTTTTGTAAATGATAGAGTCTTGCACTCTTGGCATAGTGAATGTGATTGGTAGCGGCGAATAGATTCAGTAAGTTCCCAACAGCGTTAAGATGGCCTTTCCAATTGGATAGTCTTTTTCTGCCCGTACAAAATATTTTATCCATGCAAAATAGTCCAAATGTTGCAACCACAATCGGGCAGTGCGCGATTTATCGCTTAGTGTCTTTTAAACGATACAGAGAAACCTATCTACTTTAGCTAATATTATATGCCAATCAGATATGTGGTCGAGAACGTCGGGCGTACGGTTTTCCAATGTTTGTTTGAACGGTTGCCAAAGTCCCTGAATTTCGTCCAGGCTTAGGCTCACGTGGTCTATCTGAGTTATGTTTTCGAGAAGATGAGTGAACAACCGGGTCATTAACGCGGATTCCACCAGTAACGTTGCTCTCATAGCACGATCGTATGCTTTACCACTGATAATATGCTTCACAACATTTTTGCCGTAGACTTGCTCCAACATTTCTTCCATTCCACATCCAGCCATTAGATAATACAAACTGCCCAACCCGCTCATTAAGAGATGAAAGCCTCCAAGACGCAGCATAATCTTATTAATTTTTTTAGCCTCGACTATTTCGGATGCCCTGAGATATAGGGGTTGGTCAAACGTTATACAGAAATTTTGTAACCCCAGTTACTCGCCTTGAGTCTGTATGTACCAATGCCGAATAAATACCTGAATCATCATTTGGACTTAAATTCAGTATAGGCAGTAGCATCACATCCCATTCGGACACTGTGTTGTTGGTACTGGCAAACAAATGTTGCATGTAGTCACTCCAGCTTGGAGATGGTGTATCTCTGAGCCTTTGTGCGCATTGCCATAGAATGTTGCTTTAATATGATGACGGTGGGATCACGATGGGCGGGTAATTTCTGCGAGTGGTTTGAATGGGATAGTAGATAATGCTGGCGGGGATTGAGTAAAATACTTTAGAGTGGAAATAAATTTATCCTCAAGAAGTTTGGAAACACGGACTCTTGTCTGACGCTTGACCCGATTATCAAATCCAGGTGACCTGTGTCCAGTAGACATAGCAATCATACCAATGGCATGAAATTGACCTACTAAGGTTTCGACAGTTGAATCGGCGTTATCGGTTGACCATTGTGTAAATGCTGGACTTTCAGGTGGTAACACGGTGCCCAAATGTTCATCATGTTTGAAGAGCCGGGCTTATATCAAATGATATAGACATACCCAGCGCATGAAGTTCGTTGATCAGAAAACGGGACCAAAAACATGGTCCATTTTTAGACCCAGTCCAAACATCAAGGGTGATATCACTGTTTTAGGTTTTGCGACTTGAGTGATCATTTGACCAATGCAATCACGTCTTAAAGAACATGGTATCAAATGCTCCATAAGCAGTTGCAGACAAGGAGTAAGAAATTCTCTCCCTTTCTCAACATCCCGGAATATCATTAAGGCTGGGGTAATAATCGCCACTGTATTCTTTTCCCTTATTTCCTCCTTAACCAGACGAGCACAGGTAATGATTATCCTGCGTATTTCGGCTTCTCTGTTCTCAATCTTCTTATCATGCCATTTTCTGTGAACAATATAATCGGCCATATTCCTGAAACATAACACATCTTTTTGGCCTCCACCAATTTTTGCAAAAAATACGTGTTCGTCATAGCACTGAATCAATTTCTCTCTCAAGGTTCTCGAGGTGTAGGTTTCTTCTCCACAGGCAATTTCTTCCATTTTCGCCATCAAATCATTCACCGTATAAATTCTACTTCCGAACTATTTTCCAACCATTCACAGAGCCTTAAAAACCACCTGATGGTAACGCGCCTCAGCAGCAACTAGACATGCACAGCCCTGGAATCTGATAAATATGGCACGTGACCAGTTGTCACTTCTATCACACTCTTGTAAAATCGTTTCTCGCATTTCTATCGTTTTAACTTCAAACACCGAATTTCTGTCTGGGTGTCTCATATCATTTTGAGCAATCTGGACACATATGAAACACTCTTCAGTCCACATGGAGTGATTCAAGGCTAGAGCGAGGTTTCTTAGGCGCAGGAAGCGCTTGGCCTTGATCGTCCGATTTATGTTTCTTAGCACGCTCTACATTTCTGTCGAGCGTATATTCATTACGGCGGACCCAATGCACACGAATCTCTACTACCCCAGGTTCGTTTAGTCTGGATTGCAGAAATGTCTGTAATATTATCATCTCCACGTAAAATATATTTATGACGTCACATCCGTGACGAGGTACAGCTACGTTCGATTTGATTTCATTTTCGGATTCGATGACATCAACTACCTAATAATTGATACCAAACATGACTGTCGCGAATTCAGATAAGTTTTCCAAGCAGTACCGTATTTTTAAAATATATTTCGAGCACCAATTTTGAATTGCTCACCACAAAGTTTCCCCAGGGGAGATTTTGCTAGAGTTTTTTTCTGGGACACTATAGACATGGTCCTTCCAGAAAATGAAAAAATATTTTTTTTCCACAGCTCTAGCGATTATGAACTTTTCCGATCAGCCTAACTAGCCGAAAGAACATCAGACTGAAAGGTAAACATTTTCGCCACATAACAGCAACAGTCATCCGGACGCCTTTCCGCGCGGAGATCTCCCAAATGTGACGTATTTTGTGGGGATTCCCTGTCTTTTTATGCACCAAAGCATCCATCTGATTTGAAGTCCGTGCGACAAAAGAAAGATAACGCATATAAAGAGTTTAGGTATGACTTCTACATAGAATAAAGAGTTTGGGTAAGAATTCTATCTCAGAATAAAGAGTTTGGGTAAGAATTCTATCTCAGAATAAAGAGTTTGGGTAAGAATTCTATCTCAGAATAAAGAGTTTGGGTAAGAATTCTATCTCAGAATAAAGAGTTTGGGTAAGAATTCTATCTCAGAATAAAGAGTTTAGGTAAGAATTCTATCTCAGAATAAAGAGCTTGGGTAAGACTTCTACCTCAGAATAAAGAGTTTAGGTAAGACATCTACCTCAGAATAAAGAGTTTGGGTAAGACTTCTACCTAGAATAAAGAGTTTGGGTAAGACTTCTATCTCAGAATAAAGAGTTTGGGTAAGAATTCTATCTCAGAATAAAGAGTTTGGGTAAGAATTCTATCTCAGAATAAAGAGTTTAGGTAAGAATTCTATCTCAGAATAAAGAGCTTGGGTAAGACTTCTACCTCAGAATAAAGAGTTTAGGTAAGACATCTACCTCAGAATAAAGAGTTTGGGTAAGACTTCTACCTAGAATAAAGAGTTTGGGTAAGACTTCTACCTACAATAAAGAGTTTGGGTAAGACTTCTATCTCAGAATAAAGAGTTTGGGTAAGACTTCTACCTAGAATAAAGAGTTTGGGTAAGACTTCTATCTCAGAATAAAGAGTTTGGGTAAGAATTCTATCTCAGAATAAAGAGTTTGGGTAAGACTTCTACCTAGAATAAAGAGTTTGGGTAAGACTTCTATCTCAGAATAAAGAGTTTGGGTAAGACTTCTACCTAGAATAAAGAGTTTGGGTAAGACTTCTATCTCAGAATAAAGAACCAAAGATTTATAATTATTGATATTAAAGGTTGTTGGTACAATAAAGGGGTTTTAATTTCTAACATGACATACGAATCTGAGAATTACTTGAAGATTTTTAAAGATCAGCCCAAATGGATAATTGAAAATTAATTAGGCATTTGACAAGACAAAATAATATTGCCAGGCAATTACTTTGGCAAACACTTTAGAATCATGTAGATTTTTGACAACAACTACCATTGGCAATAAAATACAATACACTTTAATACATAGATTTGACAAAATAACAAATACATGATTTGGAATTCTAAACAATTGACAAAACAAACAACTGACAAAAAAAAACTTTTATACTATAACATTGGACAATACAACAAACTATATTGAAGAGACTACTTTTATATAATAATAATTTTCATGTAGATTCTACTTTAACTGACGGGATCATGTTGACATTTAACAAAACAACAATCAACTAGGATTACTAGTCAACAATACTGTTTATGTCTAGTTTATATTATAAATATTTGCTACAAAAAATCAAACTAACAACATAAAATCTTTCAAATCATTCAGAACATTCAACCATCACCAATAAATATGTCAACAAAACAAAATGGGATGAGTGGGGTGGGGCAAAGGGAAATGTTAAATATGGAATAAATTATTGAGCTTTTTCTTTATTTGGTGATTTTCTTAGACAACATGAACATATCAATAAAACCAACAAGACTATACTTCCACCATAAACTCCAAGAAGAATCTTTCCATAAGGACCATTTAATTGTTTCTGAAATAAAGAAATATTTCAGTATTTGCTTATGAAGTGTGTCAAATTGTTTTTAAAGTGTAGAAATAAACTTGAAGAACATATGGTTGTTTTCTTGAATTGATTAAAAAAAAATCAATAAATATATAGCAGAAAAATTCAATAGGATTGGTCTTTATCAGGGGTTTTCAACCTGGGGGTTGCTTACTCCAAAGGAACTCATTTTGAAATTTGTGGACAATTATAATTAAGGTCGTTCTATTTTTTTTATTTAAATAAAACAACGTCTATTATAACTGTCCAAAAATTTCTATTCTTGGACAAGGAAAAGATTACAGGAAAAACCTACGAGAAATAGAAAGGATTAAAAGGGGTAAAGGGGTAATGCAATCCATCAAGAACCCTGAAGATAGTGGACCACAGCCATATACGGCCACCACGGCATGCGGATGGTAAAAACGAAACATCCATTTTAAATTTCATCAAAATCTGTAGAAAACAAAGATAGCATATTCAAGATTTTTGGGCATGGGCAATAACTCTGCTTTCAACGGTCAAAAATAGCTCCAATTCGAACTTGATCTTCGTTTTATGAATATGTATACACATACCGAATTTCATTTGATTCCATCAAAAAATCTAGTTCTTAGAGCGTTTACAGATGGACCGACGGACGGACCGACAGGGGTGCCGACAATATACGTCCACATAGAAAATTGTGGGTGTATAAAAATGGATATAGAAAGGAAAAGGTTGAAAAACCCTGCTATATCATTATATCTTGAATACTTTCAGAAGATTTTTTAATCAATACCTTTAAATATAAAACTATACTGTCTGTTACTTTATCACTGTAAAATAAATAAAAATATATTATTCAGTTTCAGTATTATTATCAAAATACTGCATTAAAACCTCATTTTAAGATAAAAAATATTTTAAAGGTATCTTGGAAAGCAATAGGCTCAGATGTAGTACTTGAATTTTATTCCAGAATCCGATTCATGAATGACATATTTTTCCAATTAAGATCATGTTGATGAGGCCAAAGGTAGAGGTACCCACTTGTGATACTTTCAAAATGGGATTAAGAAAACTCCTATAGATTACCACTAAAAAGAAATCAACCATTTACCAAAATGAAAAATAAAACAAAATAATTTTTGAGGGTGAAGTATTCTCCAAGGAAGTTACAATACCTTTCAAATAAAATTCTAATAAAAATGTGAACTACTTGATTACCCCTGTATACATTATACATAAATAGAATAAGATATAGTCAGGGTCACAGACTATCTGAAGAAAAACCTCTTCCCTTTATGTGTATATGATTTGTTCTGGAGAAGAAAATCAGACTTGCCAAAGTAGAAATTTATTGAATTGAAAATATAAAATTATCCTATATTTTTCATTTCTAATCGTCAAAATGAAATGGGCAACGCCAAGCATGTGAATGAAGGAAATTTTGCCTACTCTTTTCCGATTTCCAACTGTCGAGGGATCACTAACATGAACAGCCTGTAACAAGCGGGCCTCGGTTTATGTCCCATCTGACAACAAGAAGCTTTTTCTATGTCAGCCCCTCAGACCTACATCACTGCATCACTTCAGGTTAGCTTGCAAGCGTCTAACTCACTGAGACACCGCCGTTCCTCTAATTGTCAAATGATCTTGAGATGCTCAGTGTGTATGCTAACCCTTGCTCTCTCCAAGTGAACCTCCAAAAACAACATAGCGGTCAAGGAGCAACAAGGATAAACTGGTCTGAGTAAAGAATTGCACAGTCAGTTTCTTCAGTTAGTTTGTGATCCCAACTTACAAGGCAGTGGGTTCAAAGGGTATTTTTTCAGCTTTCATATTTCTATACCAGGCTTGAACAAATGACATCAAAATCTTGACTGATACTTTTTCCATTTCATATCTGTACATTGTACCCTGTTTAAAACTATAGATAAAAAAAAAAGACTAATTAATAAAAATTTAGCATTAAATTTAAACAATAGTTACAAATAACATTATTATAGTGGACCAGACTTGTTTCTAACATTATACATTTCTAATGTTATGAATATCATGATCTTGTTATTTCGTACGAAAACCAAGAAAAGCGAAATGCTAAGAATAAATGAATGTCTGACTACATAGCTTTGAATTGAATTTTTTCTCTCATTTCATAAATATTCAAAATAAGACTTTCAACTGTATACCATTTGTCTTAGAATGTCTAAAGGTCCATAGAAATATAAGGTTCTGTGATTTTACATAAGAAATAAACACACTTTCTTTCTAAAAAATTCAAGTGAAAATTACCTTTTCAGAGCGAAAATTACCTTCTTTAAAATCATTTTTACAATTAATGTTTTTTTCAGTTCTCAACATTTTCATCAACCCAAAGACAATGTAAGACTCCAGTAGTATTTTGCAATTGATATTTCAATTCATATGAAAATTGCCAAAATTTTATTCAGAAAATAGTATAGTCAGAGAGTAGAGATATGTTTGATATGTTAGACTGCACTCCTTATTTCTGGTTTTACAATTTCCTGTAAAGTAATCATCTTGGTCCTCAATATTATACTATTGAAATACTTACAAAATAATTGAAGGACATTTTGTTAATTTAAATCTATCTACTAATTTAGGATTAACATTCATATCAACTTGAGCTACATTTGTTTTTCCCTTTAATCTACAAAAGAAAAATAAACATAAACAGGTATATACTGTCTCAAAAAACCTAAATAATATCATTGCTAAAATTCCCATCTTCAGCTGTCAATGCATTGACACATTATTTAGGAAGAGATGATAACTATGACTACATTAGAATACTCGTCAATACCAGATAATACTTGAGTAAATTACATGTAGTCACTTTTATTTTCTGTAAGGGACTTTCCCTATAAAAAGCTTTTAAGTCTTTACTTACTTGACTGCTACTGTTTCAAAATCTATCAAACTTTGTTTACAAACTGGACAATCATCTTTATAACTGAAAATAAATAATAACAATTTATCTGACTGAGATCATTATGAAAAGTAGGTAATTTTGCAATATTGTTCTTATTCGAGTATATATACATATTACATAAGCTTAAACATACCAATTTTTGTCAAGATCTGGTCAAAAATGGAAATAAATATCCCCTCTGTTCTCATTACACTCCTGAAAATCAATTCCTTCAAAGAATTCATCAATAATGATATAACCATATCCACTTACTATAGTTTTTATTGCATCCACAAGTCGCAATTTTAACATATTTAGCTGAATTAAGGGAAATAACCAAAAAATGTCAACTTGCAAATTCCGACTCCACATTTATTAAGAAATATTAAGAAAATGGATAGTTAGAATATAGAAAAGATAGCTTGCCAGGCAAGGTAACATACGCCCACTGGCAGCTGTCAGAAATGATTAAACAGTCTTTAGTGACTACAGGGTTGCACAATATAGCTAATAGAGTGAAACGTCAAGTCAGGCACGATATATAGGTGAAATATTATCTGATCATCGCGAAAATCAATAGGGATCATCTTCATAATGACATTGACATACAAAATAAAAATCAAAAGAATCTGTAAACAATTGTAGCCTGTAGAGTGAGCACGAGTTGCACAATATAGCTAATAGAGTAAAACGTCAGGTCAGACACGATATTTCGGTGAAAAATTATCCGATCCTCATGAAAATCGATAGATCATCATGAAAATCAATAGGGATCATCTTCATAACGACATAGACATACAAAATAAAAATCAAAAGAATCTGTAAAAAATTGTAGCCTGTAGAGTGAGCACAAGTTGCACAATATAGCTAATAGAGTAAAACGTCAAGTCAGACACGATATTTCAGTGAAAAATTATCCGATCATCACAAAAATCAATAGGGATCATCTTCATAATGACATTGACACACAAAATAAAAATCAAAAGAATCTGTAAAAAATTGTAGCCTGTAGAGTTAGCACGAGTTGCACAATATAGCTAATAGAGAAAAACGTCAAGTCAGACACGATATTTCGGTGAAAAATTATCCGATCATCACGAAAATCAATAGGGATCATCTTCATAACAACATTGACATACAAAATAAAAATCAAAAGAATCCATAAAGAACTGTAGCCTGTAGAGTGAACACGAGCCAAATGTGAACGGACGGACCGACGGGGTGATTACAATATACGCCCATCTTACGTGTGGGCATATAAAAAGTCAACTTTCTCAAATGAAGTAAATACACAGTGGAAAATCTAAATCAAACAGTAATTATCTGTGACAAAGACCAACATCAGATAGTACTTACAATAAAACCAACCAATCACCAGTAGTAGAGCCTGTTACAGCTTGTGTTAAATGTTCAAATGTATCATCTGTTAATATTTTAACACTGATTTCTTGAGCTTGTAATAACCAATGAGAAAAATCTTCATCATTTAGATCACCTAAACATTATGCAAATATATAAATCATTAAGTATGTTCCAATAATTACATTCTTTAGGACAGATTTTAGGTCAAATTCAGAAAATCATTTCAGTGGGTTTATTACAATCATTATCAATACAGTGAAACCCCACTAAACAGGCAGCCTCCTGAACTAACAGCAAAATACCTATTTAATGGAATTGCTGTTTTAAACGTTCTGGTCAACATTCTCTGAACATTCTAATCGTTCAATTTTCGATCGTTCTATAAACTGATGAAATTAAACAAACTTATTCCAGGGCAATAAACATTCATCAATCCCTAGCAGGACCATTTATTGTTTTGATAGTTGAAAAGTACAAACCATCATAATGTGCTGGTGATTGTTGTCTATAATATACCACTTTAGGAAAATCTGATGCTCCTAGTTCATTAGCTAGCACTAAGTCTGTTGATTGCAATATCTTCAAATCTGAAACAAAATTATTGACAAACACCAGGATAAGGTTAAGCACATTTGACAAATAACAATGTTGTATCTACTGAATATTCCTAAAAAAATGTAATTTGGCAATAAACCCAAAATTCTGTTGGCCACTTCAAAAGACTACAATGCCTATGTGATGCATAATATAATGTTGTTTTAACTAGATATTACCTGCATTGAAACCAGGTGGTGATGGGTAGTTATTAAAAAATATTACAGTATTTTTACACTTGTCATCTACATCTTTACCTGAAATATTTTCAAGAGATATATAGAATGTGTGTATATCATGAATAGATATTATTATATAAGTTTGAATGGAAGTATTTGCTTCAAGTCTATGTTACTTGTCATTTACCAACCAAACAAACAGCTAGTTCTGGTTGTAATCAAGGAAGGATATGAGATTGCTGCTTGCAGGTAGACATTACCTCTATAAAGATGTCATAATAAATGCAGAGTTCATATTGGTTATATTTTACAGATTATGATCAAAGTAACAGATTCAATTGCAGACAAGCAAGATAACAGATAGTACTACAGATACAGATTCAATATAGAGTTTAATCTACATGATTAGAAGACTCTCTCCATTTAAGGACAAAAGATCTGTCCTTGTGTTGTTGGCCTACTTTGAAATTAGCTTTAAAAATAGTTTTAAAATAAAAACTTTCCATTTTGAATTTTCTGGTCAAATGGAATTGTCTATCAGTAAAAGAATGTAGCTATTAAACATGAGCTGGTATCATATGCAATAAATAATTTCAGAAACAACCTTCACTACAGTTTCCAGTGCAAATGTCAATATCTTCAAATCTTCATAAGGTGTTCTTTCTTTTATGAACCCAATGTTAAATATACAATATACATTCTGACAGGTGATATATGGTTTGCTTGAATTAATTCTAAACAGACTGTAAAGCAACAAATAAGACTTCTTATATTATTTGAATTTGCAATTGTAACACAACCTTGTATTGGAAAAATAGCAAGCTGACACTATTTGGTTTGTAAAGACAATCAATAATGCTCTATAACAATACAGGCACAGCTTGTCCTTTAGCTATGTTCAAGGAGAATGGCTCTTTTATCAGTTAAATGATTTAGTGTATGATTGAATGAAGTCTTAAGTTTTTAGATTCAATCCTTGCCTCTGATAGCCTTTTATCCCATTTATTAGATATTGAAGACTATTTCAAAATTTTAATTTGATCGCGATTTATCTTAATAAATCCATTTTGATTGGTGTTTGTTACTCACTTACAAAGTCCTGTCTTAAATAGAAATCTCAAGCAACCCAAAAGTTTAGGGACTTTTTAAAGGGACATTCCGCTTTTTTTGTAAAACATTTTCATTATTAAAAATGTTGTAAATTACACCTAAAAATATTTCTAAAGTAATTTATATCTATTTATCTACATGATAAAACTGAATTTGTTTTAAAAGGGCTAATTAAAAATGGAGAGTACTAATTGTTAATTTAGCAGTTTAACCTAGTTTTGGTGTTCAATTTTATTATTTGAAGCCTTTAGAACATAGGAGAAATATTTCTCAACAATTTGGCATTCATTTTACTTTAATTAATCTGTTTTCTAGTAGTTTTCTAACAGCTTTAAAAATCATAACAAATCCTAACTTTAAAAGGTTACGTAAACTTATATAAACTTGTTGAATAGTTTTGGCATTAATAAGTTAACAGCTAGTTTTTTATTTGGTTCAAACTTTCAAAAACGTTAGGGGACATATTGCTGTAGATTTTGGTGTATAGTTTTCACAAATTTGGGCAACAAAATTCTTTTGACCTACAAAAAAACGGAATGTCCCTTTAAACTGTATCTTCTTACAAAACTATGCCATTAGGAACCTATTAAGATTATAAAAAGTAAAGAGATAATTACAATATTTTTTATTAATAAAATAAAGTTATTAGCCTTACCCCAGTCGGCCCACTGTTAGCTCTCAAAGCCCCTAAAACCCATAAACCATATGGATTTCAAGTTAGGCTTAGAATGCTAGATCTAGGCCGTGGATATTCGCCACCCGGGTGGCGAATAGTCCATGTCCATTCATTTGACTATTCGCCATCCAGGTGGCAGAAAAAATCTCTAACAATTCATGAAATGTCAGCCTTTTTGATATAATTGTTTCTTTCAGTGACATATTAGTCGACTCTGAGTAATTTGTAATGGATTTTGTCAGGTTCAGACAAGACCGTGTTAATATAAATTGAATTTCTTGCAATGAAACGAAAGTAGAAATTCCACCATTTTGTTTACACCAAATTAGCATACATCCCAAATGGTCCTGTTAGTGTTGCTATGAAATTTAGCATCATACGTTTGTATAAGAAATCCGTAGAAAAAAAATGAAATAAAATAAAGTTTTACGTCCTATTTCTGCACCTGTATAGGCTACTGAGGATGGGCAAACGCCATGCAGTGTGCAATGAGTGAAATTTTGTCAGGACAGCGACATTAGCCTACTCTTATTTTTCGATTTCCAACTGTCGAGGGATCGTAAAGTAAAAAAAAAGGTTGATGAAGATGTGTAAATGGTAAAAAAAAAAAGACAAAGCAGGCTCGTGTCCAAATTGTGTCACATTTATCCTAGACGTATTTTCCAAGTAAGCCCCTCCGATCCCAAACATCGACAAGGGGAAATCGAGTTGAAAAATCCAAAGAATATCAATTCATGGTTGGAGCTATCGCGAATGTGTAAGTAATGTATGTGGGTGGGTGGTAAATACACTGCATTGGGGTGGGTGGAAATATGTATTTGATGTAATAAGGTTTAAGGTATAAAAAGGCGTACGATAATCCACAATACTGACGAGTGGTAAGTAATGTGTACGGGTGGTAATAAGGCGTACGATAATACACAATACTGACGGGTGGTAAGTACTGTGTACGGATGGTAATAAGGCGTACGATAATAAACCATACTGACGGGTGGTAAGTAATGTGTAAGGGTGGTAATAAGGCGCACGATAATACACAATACTGACGGGCGGTAAGTAATGTGTACGGGTGGTAATAAGGCATACGGTAATACACAATACTGACAGGTGGTAAGTAATTTGTAAAGGTGGTAATAAGGCATACGGTAATACACAATACTGACGGGTGGTAAGTAATGTGTAAGGGTGGTAATAAGGCGTACGATAATAAACCATACTGACAGGTGGTAAGTAATGTGTAAGGGTGGGAATAAGGCGTACGATAATAAACCATACTGACGGGTGGTAAGTAATGTATAAGGCGTACGGTAATACACAATACTAACGGGTGGTAAGTAATGTGTAAGGGTGGTAAACAAGAATTGGAGATGGTAAACAAGAGATGAAGGAAGTAAGTTCTTGTTAACCACCAACAATTCCTGTTTACCACCCCCAGCTTTTGTTTACCATCCAAAATACTTGTTTACCACCCACAATACGTGTTAACCACCCACAGTTCTTGTTAACCACTCACGGTTCTTGTTCCTGTTAACCACCCACAATTCTTATTTACCACCCTAAACTCTTGTCCACCCTAGTTGTTTTTCATTAACCTAGCTGTTGTTTACCACCCTCAATACTTGTTTACCACTCTCAGCTCTTGTTTCATTAACCTAGCTGTTGTTTACCACCCTCGATACTTGTTTACCACCCTCAATACTTGTTTACCACTCATAATTCTTGTTTACCACACTCAGCTCTTGTTTCATTAACATAGCTGTTGTTCACCACCCCCAGGTCTTGTTTGCCACCCACAGTACTTGTGTAACACTGACAATTCTTGTTTGCCACCCTAAGCTCTTGTTCACCTACTTAGTTGTTGTTCACCATCCCCAGCTCGTTTGCCACCCTCAGCTACTGTTGACCACCCTGGGTTATTTTTACCACCCTAGCTGTTGTTTACCACCCGTATGTCTAGTTTAACAGCCACAATTCTTGTTTACCAACCTACTCTTGTTTACCACCCTCAGCTTTTGTTCTCCAACCTCCGTTTTTTTTTACCACCAGCAGGTCTAGTTTGCCACCCTCCGTTCCGGTTTAGCACCCGCAGATCTTGTTTACCACTTCCAGCTCTTGTTCACCACCCTCAGCTATTGTTTACCACCCCCAATACTTGTTTACCACTCACAATTCTTGTTTTCCAACTTCAACTTTTGTTAACCACCTTAAGCTCTTCTTCACCAGCCGAAGCTCTTGTTGTTGTTAACCACTCTTGGCTCTTTTTTACCACCCTAGATGTTATTCATTAACCCAGCTCCCGTTTACTACCCAAAAATCTTGTTTACAGTCCTCAGCTCTTGTTTACCACCCTCGGTCTTTCTTTACCACTCGTAGGTATAGTTTACCACCCTCCGTTCCTGTTCACCACAGCAGTTCTTGTTTACCACTTCCAGCTCTTGTTCACCACCCTCACATATTGTTTACCACCCCCAATACTTGTTTACCCCTGACGATTCTTGTGTACCACCGACAATTCTTGTTAACCACCCTAAAGTCTTTTTTACCACCCTCAGCTTTTGCTCCATCTTTCTTAAACTAATAGGGAATGTCGGGAATTCGCGTTCTTGGGAATCCGATTCTAAAAATCTTCAAAGGGTGGGATCTCCTACACACTATATAAAAAATCCTTAAATCCGCCGGAAAATGTCAAGAAAAAGGCCTCAAAAAAAAAATGCAGAGCCACGCGAGGTTTGTAGATGACATAAATATCGAGACTAAATTTCATAGAAGTGATTCAAAAAAGTGGTGGCCAAATTGACTTAACACCGATTGACTATAAATAGCCATCCAATGGGACAGCGATTATCAATTATAAGTAGGTGTTATTTTCGTACATTTTCTTGAAAGGAATTGCAAATAAGCGTTTCTAATGAACATAAAAAAATATTATAATGCATGTAACGCTATAGCCTTAACAGCTAATAATGTCAGTCTTCAGAGAAATTAAAGTTTTAAAAACGGGTTGCAAAAAAAAATGAGGGTGGCGAATAATTGTTTGCCACCTGGGTGGCGAATATCCTCGGCCCTAGATCTATCTTGACAATTCGGTCAATCATCATATTTGCATCTGACACCACTATCATTAGCCACGAGCCATGAAAAATATATGAATTTCTAAATAGGCAAACGGCATTTGGACATAATACACCAACCAAATCCCATGCCATGAACTCATCATGAAGTACCGTAGTTTAAAATTAAATGCCTCTTCTCTGTGCATACTTACAAAATATAATGAGTATATGGTCATTTTGGTCAGCGACAGATTTCCAGTTATCGTTGGAGACGTCATCCAAGTCCCGTCCAGTTGTCGAACCCTCTGACTGACATTTAATTATACATTTAAATAATATTGCGAGTAATATTATAAGCACACGTTTCATTTTGTTGACTTTTTCGTCCAGTGATCTCTAAAGCCCGAATGATTTGTCAAGATGTTGTGTTGATGATATTTATATAACTTGATGTTCGAAAACAAAATCATTCGATGTACTTGGTTTAATTCGTTTCTTCTTATCTGGACGAGTGTGACTACAGGTTCTTACTTCCGGCTGTCTCTTCCGGGACGTTGAAGAAGTTTTAGAAAGTTTTATGTATTATATATTACTAATTTAATCATTGCTGTACATTCCAATGAATCAGCCATGGCCTTAAATGTAAGTATTGAGTTATTTTCAACTTTCCGTCCCATCCCATTAAGTCTAGAAGGTCTTATTTTGCTTGCCATGGGCGTTGACCGATTCACTTATATGGCTGGCCATTCAATCAATCAAATAACATAAATCATCAGTTATTGCAAAATGATGAATCTAGTTTATCGACATCAGAATATATAATACAATGTCATCATGATATCATTGTAATGACAATGTACCATCTTTTAGATTTTCAATTACCAGCCTAGCGACCTTGTTAAAAGTTCTTCTGACTAATGTAAAGTCTGATCTGAAATCTTCGTAAGTAATGGTTTGGTGTTCCCAGTCAGTATCTGTTAAATCTATCTTAAACGCTATTAATGTTGGGGCAGTTGTAATTTTGTCTGTATATTATTCCAGTATTTGACAACTCTGAGATTGTTGATATACAGTCAAGTAACCTAATTTCCTACTAACCTATTTTTTGTGCATCTCTGGAAATAATGCATAATTCACATGCATGACCTCTGCTTTTGCTTGTTCTGATAAACACAGATTGCCTGTACAATGTCAGCTATCAGAAATTTTCTGGTCATTTCAAAGCCTTTTCAAATTTATTATATATTTATAACATAATAACGGTTTTCAGTTATTACCAATTATAACAATTTTTCATCGACCGAATTTCCTTTATAATCCCAAGCTGTCTGCTAGAATATATATTCCAGTGAACAAAGTAACGTGACAAACTAGCAGATTCCGTGTCAGCAGAAACATTCTATGGAACACAATACGGGCCATATTCTTATGTTGTTTCAATAAAAGCTCTAAGCAATAAATGTTTTACTTATTTTGTCAGTCATTAATTTTTCTTTTTAAATCATTGTTCTTTGAGGGAATTGACATAAATTTATTAATGATAAATACCACTGGGTATCCATACAAGGTGTTTTTCTCGACTTATATATAGATCAGACATCATACACGAAAAAAGGTGATGCAATTTACAGCTGTTGTTGAGTAGGTTACTCTTTATATATGGGTCAAAGTGAAGGATTCATAAAGAAAATAAAAAAAAAACAATTTTAATTATTTTATAGAATATCTGAGGAACATTTCTGTCAAAACATTTGGACGAATATTATATGCACGAATATGGGTTACACCACCTTACTGGTTGAATTTAATTACTGTCCTAGCAGCCAAAAATTATTTCCACTCCAGGCTAGCAGGCGTAGTGCTTTTATCCAAACATGCCCACAATCCTAGTTATTATTTATTTTTATTAATTTGGCCTGGTTCTAATTGGCCTATTGGGATATGTTCTGTTTTCAAATGCGATATAGCTAGGTAGTAACTCACTTCAGAATCACATTATTTTTGCCAATCAGTTGGTAATCTTGAAAATTCAGCTGTAAGGCCTAGTACTGGAAGTCTTAAATTTGGTTGCTTGGGTTGGTAACAATTCCAACCAAGGAAATATGAACATAAAATTATAGATTAACATAAGGGAATTTTCTTTTTAAAAATGTTTCGGTTGGTCATTTTCACATGAAATTTATGGTAGGAAAGTAGTTTCGATTTACTCTTAATGTAAAACCATCCAAACTTATTCTATGGACTCATACACATTCTTGGGAAAATGGCATGTAATTTTTAAAGGACAAAAAACATAATTCTGAGGACACTGTGGTTGTAGAGTAGTTAATTTACAATTTCGTATCTTTTTTGTTTTCTGAAATTTACTGACAATAGAGACTAAAAAATCAGAAAAAGAAACAAGATATGAAATTGTAACTTATTTTTATTAAATGAAGAATAGTAAGCTGGGAATGGTGTGTATGATCATAATAATAAGTGACTGAGATAACATATTAAGATTATGTATTGGTTACTTTCAGAAATTCAACTTGTTTGATTAAGAGAAGTGTGTTTAATTGATGCTGTGAATTGATTTTATTGTGATACCTCAAATTGATTTATTGACCTTGTTTATATTTGTTAAATCTAATGATGGGTGATACTCTGTTATGTTTAAACTGCTGTATAACAGAACAACCTCAACCTGTAAGTATTTATTTGCGTTGTTTTAACTTGTTTGTTTGTAAATTCAGGAACCGACTCTTGACTATACAACTTCTTCTGATACAATATACCTATTCTTGACCATTATTGTTATTTACACATCAGATTTTAATTCTTCACATCGAGGACTGCTGGTTAGGATATGGGAATTCAATTATGTCATTTCTGCTAATTGTCTAAATGGATGGTTTACCACCTTGGTATGCTATATTTTGCTTGATAATTAGAGTAACAAGCTCTGCAATTTGGTAGTTTAGTGTCTACTGCATCATGAAATGTAGCTGGAAGGAAAGTTGAAATATTCTGATACGTTCTTATGGGACTCAGTTGTATGCATGCTTTCAACATAACCTGTGGTTGTAGTCCATTGAAATTAAATGTCAAATGTTGTAGAAAAGACAAAGAAGAAGAATAGATAGAAGTATGATAGGTGCACCAACAGATTTTAGACATACAGCTCATGTAGGTTCTGGTGATGTCAGCAATAATTCCAGTACTGTAAGTATTTTTAATTTTTTACCCAATATGATGACAGTCTCATTATGATGACAGTTTCATAATCAATTAATCAAATAATCACCTATTACAAACTATTTCTTGCTATATAGATGTATCTACGCATAGTATAATATGTTATTTTGTCATTTTCACAGCTTAATTCAGTACAAGGGCAGATGTCATCTAAAGGTGGTTATAGTAATCATGTTTCACCAGGCCATTTACAGTTAACAGTTGTTGATTTACCAGCTCGCAATAATAGATAGAATAGCTGTAAGTTTTAACATGTTCCACAAGTCTTCCACTCCTCATGACATCCTTGAGATGGTGGTCAACACAAGTGTTTATTTCATAAAAAGTTAATGAAATGAGTTGCAGGATTTGATATTTTCTATTATTTTCTCTATTGATTCCAGCAACGAATATAATAAATTTCACATGACATTAGCACAAGTGAAAGATTCTGTTTAACCTAATTACTTTCAATAAGTGCATGTTTTCTTAAAATTCCATGCATGGTTTCTTTTTAAAATTGATTGCCTTCATTCAGAGGTCAGCCTTTTTGCACCTTCTGCAAAACAAAGATGTAATTAAACATGTTCATGTGATAACTAAATTGAAACTTTTTTGTTATTATTTTTGTCGACAATTACATGCCCTTCACTGTCAATTTTAACTGAGTTGCTAACTGCAAAAAGATGTCATGTTGTTTTGTTTACTTGGCGTATGAATACATTTACATGCTACAAGCTTGTATTTTTTTTCGAACTCATGTTATGAACCTGGGAACAGTACAGTTGTGGATAAACAAGAGTATTAAATTTCTTTTACAAGCTCAAATACTGTCTTATAGAAGCTAAAATACCATTGTATACAAGCTTAAATACCATCTTATACAGCCACAGAACTTTCATTCACAATAATAACAAAAACTTATATGGAAGTTTTATTTCCTGAATCTAAGAAGAAGTAGTTGTCATCAAAGGCAGTTAAATTATACAATGAAAAATAGCCTATTGTCTGAACAAAGCTAATAGTATTTTGTATTTTTCTTTATTTTTTAAGATAGTTGGAATATTACAGTCTTAAAATGTCTTTGCGGTGATCAGAATATAATTTTTTGTAAGTTTACATTGGAAAGGAACAATTTCTCTTTTAGAAATATCAACCAAAGGAATTCTGAAGATCCCAAATTGTCCCCTGTAAAACAAAATTTTTGAAGAAGTTTCCTACCACAGTCACATCAAGTTATGGTATTTTTTAACAATCAAGACGTGTCCTGTGGCATTTATTTCTTAATAACAAAATAAAATGTTGGATAGTTAGACCCAAAATAGAGTAATATGACAACTTCTTTAGGTTACACTACCCCACAATTAATTAGATAATTGGAATCCCTTAACTCTTAATAATGAAAAGATTTTGATATTAATAATAGTCTGTTTGTTATTTTCAGATGTAAATGGAATGTAATGTTATGTATGATATAAAGAAAGGAATACTGTCTTTGTTAATCTTGTTTTATATTAATATAAATTCTACCAACATGTATAAAGTACTAATCATCAATGTGCTCACCTGCCATAGAGAAAAATTTGTGATTCAATGATTTTATAATGATTTAAACCTATTTACTGTGTCTGTGTGGTGGAAAATCATTTTGATGTTGATCATTAAAGAAAGGTCCTGTTTGTTTGCTGTGATCTGAAAATGGATCATGTTTGTAAATTATATAAGATAGCTATGATTTTGCATAACCTCATGGACACATGCATCAAATCTTTTGTTTTCACTTTTTGGATTTTACTCATGAAGCATAATTGCAACATGTGGATGATATTGTGTGTGTTTTTGCCATCAAAATGTTTTGGAATGCTTTGTATGGTTGTTTTGGGTATGTATAGTAAGATGAAAATGAAAGACAGTGAACTATGTATTCTATGCGCTTAGCTAAAAAGACAGATCTAAATCTCAATCTAAATTTATTTTGGTAATTCTGTTTGAGAATTTGTCTGCTCTTTGTGTTCTGATTTGAACTAATTTGGCATAAACTATTTGAAAGAAGGCTATAGTAAAGGGATTGTAATGAGTTAGTCAAACTAAGTGTTGTATGATGTCGCTATTGTAAAAGCTGCTAATGATATTGCAATGGCTTTTGTGATAGTGAGGCCATAAAAGGCTTAGTTTCAGTGAAATTGCAGACTTCTGACTGATAAATTGCATGGTGCAAAATCGATGCTATCAGTGTTACTAATACAAAGAATAACCTCTTTACAAACACAAGCTTTTATGTATGAAATGCAGATTTGAACATGTTTAGCTAATGATTTGAGTTTTGACTCAAATTTTAGAGCCAGCTCTATGAGAATCTCCTAATTTTACTTTGACACCTTGTGGACCTCTAATGCAGTTTATGAACTTAAATGCTTCTAACAAACCGAGGAAATGTATACAGGTATGCAAAATGAAATATATTTTAACATAATATACCAGAAGTGCTTTATTCGTCTATTTTATATATGTACATAATAGGTTATTTAATTCTGTCTTGTTTTGAGATGGAGATAAAAAACAAACTTAAAGTGAAAATATCAGTTAAATTGCAGGGGCAGCTCTTAAGGTGTTATGGGGAAAAAGAAAAATGTTTTGTTGACCCTAATTAAACTAAATTAAAGTATTAATTTTATACATTTTTGGTCATAGTTTTGATACATAATTATCTGTCAGAATGCACCTAATTGATTCAATTTCAAAATATTTCTTGCAAGCACTCTCTTAAGGGCTCCAAAGGAAGCATATGCAAATGGTATTTCCCTAGGGCTATCATTTCCCCATTCTCTGAAAGCTGGCACCTCCACTGATAATGAATAATAAATACATACTAGATTAAATAATAATAGTTTAATAATAATATATTGTGAAAACTGGTTTTGGTTGATATGTCTAAAATATAGGGTAAATGATGTGCAGTTTCATAGTAGTTAGTGATATAAGTTGTGCTGATAAACCCAGGGTTTTCATTTGCTTTTAGTAAATTTAGCTTAATAATTGTATACTTCTGAACACCACATTTTTCACTTTGATTTAGTCTCTATTTATGATGTTCCATCCGTACAATGCCGATTTGGAGTGTTTGATATTTTATATTGTAAAATTCTTAATTTTTAGATCTGTAATCGTCAAATATTTTTCTGATGTTTTGTGTATTAGTTATGTATATATAGATATTTTATTGCATTTAATTTTGCTAAGCTATAAGAATTATTTGATACTATAAGAGACAATTTAAAGCTCTTGTTAGGAAATCTGATCACATTTGATGAGTTGATATGAAAAGCCGACTGTACCAATTGACCAAATGTTAAGTATAGAAATAATTCTAAGGTTAATCACATCAAGCAGTCTAGTTTTCACATTTGCTTTCTGAAAGTAAATTGTGCGTAAGATGTGTGTCCACTAGACAACTTCAACACTCATCAGTTCTGTAACAAGAGAATGAATTTGAAAGTATTGTACCCCCAAAAATGATGCAAACCGATATCGCACTCCAACTTGGTTGCTAAAATGAGTTGCTGTCCCTTAACATTTTGAAATCAACAAATTCATTGAAATTTCAAATTTTAGATATGCAATGGTTGATTGGTTTGAACTTTATGCCTTATGTCACTTTTTGGTTAATATTAATTTGTATATAGATATTTTCAATTCCCTTTGTCTCCTGTTTGTTTCAAACTTTATGTGCCATTTTTTATATTTAATGATAGCTTATTGATAAACCACTTTTATTTTCCAAATAAATCCTTATTTTCTATTTTTTTGTATTTTTGAAATATGTCATTAACCTTGGTTTGCTGGCCATTCACTTTTAAAGTAAACTACAAGATTGGTTTTAATTTTGATAAATATTGAAATGATTCTACATAGCCTATTTATAAACAGTTATGAATTGACATTGTATCTGCTGGGTACAGTGAGCACTCTTTGTATGAATATTCCAATTCCATTTTACACTTTTATTGACTTCGCGTCGAACTTAGTTTCTATCGCGTATAACCCCCCGCGTATAACCCCCCCCCTTGACTTGGGTCCGTTGACTTGGGTCTTGAATATATGTAAATAATTTCAGGAGTACTAGAAATGCACAAATGGCATAATTCCTTCAAAAATACCTCAAACTAGGAATTTTTCTTGTATTTTTATATATGTCCTTGCTACATTATGACAGAGTTTCAGGTCATTTTATCATTCAAACACAAGTCATTCTGGACAAACATGAATTTGAAGACTCAAACAGTATTAGCTAAATTCACGTTATGAGCTACTTATTTGGCAGAGACATACTTTTAATGTATCATCACGAATTAGCAATGAAATCACAGTTTCAATTTTTTTTCCGTATGAAGTAATTTCTAAAGCCTTTTAGAAGAAAAATACTTACACAAATGCAATGGATTTCTGAATGAAAATAATTAGTTATCCCCCTTAGATTATAAATAAGATCTGAGCACTATTTTAGGTGATGACAGAAAATGTGACCGTTAATTTTTCTGAATGTTTGGTTGAGTATATATTTCAATAGACGTTTTAGCCTATGCGTGTGGTGTGCATGTTATGTAGAATGATGTGATCTTGAACGAGTTTAAATTTGGCGATTTTTCGATGAACGTTATAAAAGTTATCCCCCACGATTTGAAGAAACATGTCAACATTCAATTGGTACCGTTTCGTATAGAAACTAGAGTTTACATCCGATTTAGTTGGAACTTATGTGGATTGAGGAGGTTTTTAGAAGAATTAAACGTTACAACTGCATATGACTTAGTCAAAACCAGCTTATTAGCGCAATAAGAGCAATCGGATTTTATAATATATAGTACAAGAGTTAAGATAAATTTATACATTATCCTTTGGAGGCTGACAAACACTAGGAAAGAAGACAAACGCCCCATTCTCATTATTATACTGGTAAGTATGCACAGGTATACAAACATCTAATTAAATAAGCTTAATTGTACTGCAATATTGGTAACCTATGACTTGCAGGGTTTGGTTCCTTCAACCCGAAACTGAAAAAAAATGTATCTAGTTAAGTTGCTTCTTATCTGATAAAACTATTTATTCGCTTCAAATCCCATTGTGTTATGTCCTTTCTCTACGGGTTGTTAAAATCCAAATTGACAGCTGGAAGGCTATCTTCAAATAGAATTTATTAGCCTTAAATAAAGACATAAAATCACGTTCGCATCTAATTCATCTCGGCAACTGTCGATATCCTTGAGGATATCATCCTTTGACATCTTAAAAAGGTCAATTAAACACACCTACTCAGAGTAATGACACTTACAAGGTGGTAAGCTGTTGTACACATTTCATCCGTCATAGATTTGACATATCAAAAGCTACAGCTTGCAACCTGTAAATACTCCATATAGTTATGTTTCAACATTTCTTGGCAGTGTGCAGTTTTTTTTTTTATCTAATCTTGATGAAATTTATATGTATGTATTAATGAGCTTGGTCAAGTTCACAATTAGCAATGTTTCTATGAATGATAAATCTGGTAACTGATCTGACGTGTTTTTTGATTATGTCATATCCCTTGATCAATAAAAACGCTTCTAATTTGGTTTGTAGACGTAATAGAATCTATAATGTAGCTGATCTTGAAGAAAACAATTCAAGCAATCAAAGGACTGGAAGATGTAATTGTAGATTCCTTTCATGTCATAAAAGCTTGGTATGATTATGGATTCATGCACACATACTTGATTTCCGAGCTAACAGAACTCAAATTCAGCTATCTTTTTCAATTTACCTTGAAATCCGCACACAAGGATTTTAAAAGCCGGCTTCCGATCACTCTACAACTTCTTGTGTGGGAGTACCCTCAGGTTTCCTTTTTGAGATCATGGTCAAAAAGCAGAGTTATAAAGAGTTAAAATTTTAAAGGTTGCCTATTAAAATTTGTCCAAATGAAGTTAATAAAATAATATTGACATGTATGACAAACCTAAATTAACTTTCACAAAACTAGAAATGTTGATATATTTTAGGCCATTTGGAACAGTGATCTCAAGTGATGAAATCCATCATGCCACCTTTTATATGTCAGAATGCACCACATCAATTCAGTTTTGGAAAATTTTCTTAAGAGAACACTTTCAGACGAGACGCTTGCGACTATGGCCCGTCTTCATTAGCCCACAAGGTGCAGAAGATTAGGACGTAAAACTCCATTCATTTCATTTCATTTGCAACTATGGCTCCTCCACAGAGTTGTCGCATTTTGAATTCAGCCCCGACAGTTGTCCCCATTGAGTCATTCTGCCCCTTATTTTGTACTCCAAAGTCTCGAGAAGTTGGCGCCGCCGCTGAAAAGGTGTGACTACTTCATCGCATTTAAACCGTTTTATGTTGCCTGTTATAAATTGGGATAATAATTGATTTTGGTTTTATAATAAACGAATTATTTGTGATTATGATGTAATGTGAAAATAAAAAGCCGATTAATATGTTTATTTTGAAATATTAGCATTATTCATGATATTTTTTACCAAACCGTACAAGACGGCGATGAAATGATTTATTGAGAAATTTTACGATATGGAAATTTAGAATCAACGAGCACGATTTTAGGCACAAATTAACCCTATATATCCATACCTCTTTACAATCCTGACAATCTTGTGTCCGTGTGAATATAACTTTAGACTTACTTTGTGAAAGGAGTTGGGGCCTAAGAAATCAGTGTCCCTGATAAAAAAATAACCTTAGTTTCATTGCAAACAGACAAAGACATACTTCAGGATTAAACAACTGTTCCAACTGCTGATTTGGAACATAAAACTATACACTTCAGAGTATCTATGTTTAGTCTAATCGACTATGTGACTAGAAAAAATATGGGGGAATCAGAACAATTTTGGGATGTAGTCGACCTTAACGCAGGAACAAACTGTCCACCATCAGTTGCTCATGTTCCACTTTCTATCTTATCGTTGAATGGTGCCATCAGGCACAGAAAAGTAAGACTCAAATTTCATTTCATTCTATAAACTAAAACTAGTTTTCCAAAAATATTGAATGATTTTATTGTTTCTGTTAATACATTTCATTTCTGCATTAAGATTGTATTTTAGTGCAGTTCATGGAATGATTAAATTATTGAACTTCAACAGCTATCACTTTGATGATGTATGTTGATAGAAGAAAGCTGTGTAGCTCCACTGCTATGTTCTTTTCGGGTATTCGCAAAATTGAATATCTTTAAAGAGTGTCCACACTATGAAATTATGAGCAGATGTCGAGATTCTTCTGTAGATCCTCGTTACTAGGTGGTTGGAATGCGAATGTGATGGAGTTATAATAATCACCACTAGAAACCAATCTCACTACTGAATGCTGACATCCCATGACCATTCCATGTTTTGCTGAAAAGTGAAACAGTTATTTTTGTAAATAAGTGGAGCTCAACAACGCTCTTGCGCTACACCCAATGAGCTTAACTTTGCTACATCGAAAACATGCTTCACATGCTTGTCCATGAAGAAGCATCGCCCTCTTTTTACAGAAAACTAAATTAGCATCCTTTGATGAATGAGTGCGCATTTATCTCATCAAATTTTCAATCCAGTTGCCTTTGTTATGGACCGTTATTAAGAATATTTGATTAAATTGTGACTCAATCTGTGCACGCATGTTATTTAAACGAAGGACGTCTATATACAGATATATATAATATTTTCGTGGATATAAGGATTCAACACCGAATTTCGTCAAAGTTAAAAAACAAACGAATTTTTTTTATGTCTTGAATGTTTCCTCGAATATTCTACAAAAATAATTAAAATTGGTTTGTTTCGATTTTCTTAATGAATCCTTCACTTTGACCCATATTTCATGAGCAACCAACTCGGCAACGGTGGCAGAATGCGTCACCTATTTTCGTGTACAATGTTTGATCTATAAATAAGTCGAGAAAAACACGTTGTATGGATACCGAGTGGTATAATTAACTTCTCTTAGTATTTATCTTTAATATCAATTCATTATAACTAGTGACAATTCCTTGAAAGAACCACGATTTAAAAAAATATAGTGACTGACAAAATAAGATACGTAGCGTGATTTATTGCTAAAAATCACTGAAACAACATAAGAATATGGCCCACTTTGTGTTCCATAGAAATTTTCTGCTGACACGGAATCCGCTAGTTGATCACGTAACTTCATTCGTTAGACTACATTCTAGCAGACGACACTTGGAATTCCGATTACCGCTTGGGATTTTAAGGAAATTCGGCCGATAAAAAATGGTGACGTTTGGTAATAAGTGAAATCCGCCATTTTGTATTTGTCAAAGGATACATTAATACATTTTACCTTGCTTGAAACTACTGGATTCATTCTACTAGCTGATATTGTACAGATAACCCATGTTTATCAAAACAAGCAGTTGCGGAGGTCATGCGAGGTCGCACATGTAAATTATTAATCATTTCCGGAAATACACGAAATTAGGTTACTCGACTGTATATATATAATATTAATTAAAAATACTTACAAACTTTAGATCGCAAACCACAAAATGCCAGCTTCCTACTCATGAGATCAGTATCCAAACCATCTCCAAATAGAAATTCTACGTAATCTGATCTACCTTCTGAACTGGTACACTAAAACAGAAATCAAGTTCCGCTTTAATAAATTGACGATTTCTTATAGTAAAACTTTCAACAATCTTACAAGTAAAACTTTCAACAATCTTACAAGTCAAATTTCTTGGTCTGGGTTAAACTAATGGATCTGGGGTTTCGAACTAGTTTGAATCCGATGGCAAAATTGTATGAAAGATTTTGCACAAATAATCATCTATTTTCATCAGATAAATCTTCAACGAACCAAGAAAAGACAATTTCCACGTAATGTCTAAATTCGAATTGTAGACTACCGCCCAACAATAACATTGTATTTAATAAATCAGAAATTAAAGCACCAGACAAAGTAAAAACAGACAAATTACACACAGTACACAAAGGGAAGGGTGACCGAAACATTTATTTGGGACGAAATGGATTAGGAAAAAAAGTTTGGAACATGAGAGAAAATATTGGAGATTATTGCAACCATATAATCCGTTTCTATGTGAATTGGAAAATAGAAGGAATAATAATAAAGTACAATAGGAAAAATTATTCACAATACCTCATTATCACCATAGCCTACCTTCACAGAGAGGCCAGATTTAGTTTTAATGTTACCCCCCTCCGATGATACACCAATATCTACATTTACTAGGTATATCTTTTCAGGATAAATAATAGATACAGAACAATTACTTTTCTTTCCATAGTTCTTCAGAGTTATTTCTCCCGATTTGCCCATCGCTATAGCATTACATGCTGAAAAAGTAAATATTTAAACCCCCTAGAATGACGTCAATGATGGGATTAAGGAGTAAATTAAACTGAACAATCAGCCTTTGGGGTTCATGTCTCGGAAAGATCTTATAGTTCTAGCCTATTTCTTTCGGAGATAAGCATAACATTCGTATCACTGGGACTTGATAAATGTTTTTCCTACCAGATTTGCTGCACCATGCAGGTCAGACGAAGATTTGCAAAGTCAGGAAAATTATCTTTATAATCATAATAATAACTTCGTATCTCGTAATATCACACAACAGTTCTGTTCAAAAGTTCATAACACGGGTTCATAAAGACAATATGCTCGTCGGACAGGTTAATAACTATGCAAATTAGGTCATGTATTGATGAGCCGAGTTAACAAACAACATGTCATCCTTTGAAGTTAAAAACTAATATAGTAGGTAAGGGTCATGCAATTGCTCCAAATAACGTAACTTTGACTTCAAGTTTCAATTCACATGAAAGTATTTACCAAGATCATTTTTGATACTCGCAATGACGTTGTGTAGACAGGTGTAAAAAATGAAGGCCCTGTATAGAAAAAGAGCAAGGAATTTTAGGAATGATAGTTTTGTGATAAATAGAAGATCCTAAACGAGTGCTTATGTCATATGCAAGGATCGGGTATATTAAAAGAATATACTTATATATAACATAAGAACTCGTATAGGACACTCTGTTTACTGATCGTTCAGTTGTTCACGGCTTAATTAGCTCATAAAGCCTCAATTATTGTCTAACAAAGATTTTGACTACTATTCAATATAGGTCAGTTAAATCAAGTCAACATTTCATTTTTGCCCACCTTATTGATTCCATGATCAATTGCTCTATGGCAAACCTTTTTAACATGGCACATCGTACATGTAGATAAAGACTTGGTCAAAACAGAAAAATACATCAGAGTCTAATTTCCACAACTCCCTGAAACAATCGCTTTGCATTTCTGAATTATTTGTTTATCTTGTAAATCTCACCAGAAGTAGTTAATTTTCTATCAAATTGATGTATTCCAATGCTATAATTCACAGTCCCTACTTGTGACCTAGGCCAGTGCTTCTATAAAATAGTTTCTCTTATAAAAGCTTATACCACGACAACTCGCTTACCACTGTGATATTATCCTTTGATTTGAAATCTTAAGAATAAATAAATATCAACTTACGTGCGGGGTTTCGAACGAAGTTTATTCGAACACGAAAACCCTGACCTTCTGAAGGTATCAGGAACTGAATTAAGGCGACATTTTGAGAACTGAGGTATTTTTTATGTGGTTTATTGTCATGGCATAAATCTATATATCTATCATCTAAGGATTTACTATGGTCTAATGGACTTGGGAAATATTCGCCATGAAGTTCCCAACCATCTACTAACTGTAAGAAATAAACAAAATTTACTTCATCTTAAGTCACAAGTGACAACCCACTTCATATTATTATGTCCTCATGCATAGGACTATCACTTTCTTGTTAAGTTCCACAAATAAGTCTTCACTCGTAAAGAATCATCAATTGAAAATATCGGACGTTTATATTGGTAAATGTTCTCCATCATGCATGATGCTTAACGGTGTTAGTCTTCATTTGGTCATGATGCATAAAAGAGGAATCATGAACCCCATATCATTTTTCGGTCATTATTTCGGCCAAAGCCTAGCTGTGTGTCCATTTATCCTATGGTATAATGCCGAAAAAAAGATTTTTATTCGATCAATACAGCAGTCAATACACTGCCATAAGTTTGGATAGAAATGGTGACACGATTTTGATACTATAGTTGAACAATATCTCACTTAATGGAATAAAACTTGATGCACGTTTTCTAACTGCATTTACTTACCGCCACAATATTAGATAGGTCACACTGTATATCTAAAGATATTTCTACTTCAACAAGTGTATCTGGATCGCCAATTAAATATAACCCACAAACTTCTCTTTGACCTTGAGATGTATAATAATAATCGCCTCCCAAACTCCGCATATCAACACAATCTGAAAAAAATAACGAATTCATGAGATATCTGCTTTTTAACCTAATTATTGCAAATCATACAAGTCAATTCACCATCTAATGTTTGATGACATGCTATGCTAAATACCCAAAGACATGTTATAATCGCAGTGTAACCCCTGTACATGCTCATTGCATGGAGTGTCCTTCATTAGCTCAAGACCTTTAACCCCATTTCATCTCTATTTTAACCTCTAATGATCCAATGTCCAATGTCACTGTAATAATATTGTCAACTACTGGTAACTTACCAACACTGATCGGAGTTCTGTCTATTACATCATCGTCAAGTAGCTGACTTCTCTGGAAAGATAATACAAAATACATCTATAATGATTATTATTTACCAGGTAAAATTTGAAAGTGAAGCTAAATTCTAATGTTATAATTGTGATATACTATCTACTCAAATGCAACGTTTGTATTTTAGGTCCACTAAAGACTATCATCATTGTAACAGTGGATACGATTATTCAACATATAACATATCAAAGATTGTTATTTTTTCAATTTTATGTGCAAGGGATCACAGGAACCACAGATGTCGAACTGGAAATTAAAATATAAGATATAATTTCCACGATAAACATGGGCTATGAAATCTTTTTGGAAATAAATTACCCGTTGCTTTAAAAATACACTCATCAGAAAGACTTGTGTAAATATCTTTGAGTTTATTCGATATTTGTGACAGATTTGGCAAGGGAAGTGTCAAAGATCAACTACTATGGCATATAGTCTGTCTGGGTTTCAAAAGTTGTTTCTAAAGTTGTTACAATTATTTTCCATTAATTTGAGTTCAATATTCTTGGAATAAAGTTATTTCAAAGCTGTAAATATATATAATTATGTTCGTTGTTTGAACCTTTGACCAGAACCTTAATAAAGGTGGTAACGTATAACAAGACAGCTAATTGCCGTAAGTACTTTCTTATCTCACAAATAACGGTTATTATCTTGTTCCTATAGAATTACTTGACGCAGCTTATTTTATTTAAATATGCGTTGCTCATTTTTAGACAATATAAATCCATTATCAGGAATGGATAGACCAGAATATGATAATTATGATCCTGATACACATTAACTTCCTGTACTAAGTCGGCATCTACGTCATTGGCGTCATTTCTTTTAACTAAATGGACATAATTTCTAATGAATAAAGAAAGATGCTGGATTTAAACACGTAACGTACTTTTCCCATGTGGGACGAAATAATAACCACCATTAATAAGCGAGTCAATAAATATTAGAACTTGTTTTATATAACATATTGTATAATCCGAGATACCTTACAAATACAAAATCTTATATGTACATCGTTTGTAGAACTAGTAGAAATAGATAAACGAAACCTCGCTACACTGGCGTCAAGCTTTTACTCGATCAAAGAACCAACATCTGTCCGATAGTAAAAAACCCTCATGTGTCATGATATATTCACGGTTTAAGGCTAATATATTAATATCACAGGAATTGGACTTTATGGCTGGTAATTGAGGTTGCCTTGGGCGTCAGAGAACCACTATCGTCGTGACAAATCCACAAGCTTCCAACACTGCAAGGCTTTGAAGTAGACAGAATAAAGACAATATAATGCATTTCAAAGAAACAGACATCTTTCAGGACAATTTCAATTAGTTTTCTTAGTATAAAGTTATTTGTTATAATGAGGAGTACTTATTAGGTCATCAAGAAACACAACAGGAAGGCCTGATTCATGTTTGAAATTAAAAGGGAGTTAGTTATCCTACAGCAATCCATCAATGAAACGAGAGTATCCTACAATTTTTTGATTTTCTGATTTTGTATAAATAACAATCATTAAAAAATAACTCTTGTGTGGGTGTTAGAGGCCTCAGGTGGCTGATTGTTTTTAGTTACAAAAGTCTTTATGGATATTTCTGAACATCATAATTCGGTCCGAGTTAATAAAGGGCTTTATTAAGACAGTAAAAAACTACCTTGCAATATGTGGCCTACAGAATTAAATAAAAACGAAGAAACGCGATCCCTGAAAACACGGAACGGTAAATAGGTGAGCTTTCCTATGATACCATGACAATTAACGTTGACATTTCAATGCCCTTTTCCAACACATATATTATGTAGCTACATTTTATAAGCTCATATTATAAATTATTAAAAGATGATAAACAATTGTATTATGACGATAAAATTTACTTAAAATAATTTGAACAATGATTGGAAGACATCAAGAATCCAATATGTGTTAATATGAAGTACACATCTTGCAATAGATATTGAAATAGATTTGTGCGTTAAAATAAAAATCTTGTTATGAACATAATATGGGGTTTACGTTCTTGATTGTAAAAAAAAGATGACCAGAAATCTATGTATTTTAGAATACATTCTGCTGACAATCATAGCACACAATCTTGAGGTCAAAATAGTAATACAACATGTAGTATAAAATATGAAGCAGTATTTACAAGGGCAGTACTCGATAATGCTTGCAGGTTCACGGCAAAACGAGGCCGGTCAAAAAAGTCGTGAACCTGCGAGCATTATCGAGCACTGCCCTATACATTCAGGGGAAGATCTGGAGGGATGGACTCCAAGGGAAGGGTGTAGAAAAGTGATCGGCTACTGGTTGTTCAGTCGGCTCGATTGTTGACCAGATTGTCCCCGATGAGTTAAATGTTTTGATCGGTCCGATTGCTGTCCTGAAACGTATTTTATCGTCTCGAATCGAATCGCCCCTAATCGTCCTACATCACCTCCTTTTTATCCGACTGAATACCGACCAATGGACCAGGTCGGGATAGCGGTAATCACGGACGTTCCTCACAGGATTGACTCGTGAGCGAGTGACCAATATTCACGCGTTGTTCGGTTGAGAGTGGCCGAAAATTGACGATCCCGGATCGAGAGAGCACGATAAGCTGCCGATGTTTGCCGCTCTTCCACCGTTCTTTGCTTGAGAGTGGTCGAACGTAGGCGTATGTTAATACAGGAAATATTTTAGCAGTGATCTGGCACTTGTGGGGCACAGGCGAGACGGTCGTCTGAGGATCTGGCGAGGGTCGGCTGTTTAAACTCTGCCAAAATACGCACGACCCTCGCTCGAGAGTGCGAAACGTTAAACCGAAAGTTCAAGAATGTAGGCGAGACAAGATGAACTTCGAAAAGCAGCAAATTATCTGGACCGAGTCCAGACCGCGTACGGTTCACTTCAAGCGGGACAATTATTATTGCATTGTAAACGCGGCTTAAGACGACCACGGACCGACGGTTTTGACATGTTTAAAAACAGTAGCCGATAACCTTTTCGACACCCGACCCTTGGAGGACTGAAGCGATAGTTCCAGACGGTTCCCCCAAAGGTATAAGGTAGTGCTCGAGAATGCTCGCAGGTTCCCAACCTTTTTTTGGCCAAAAATGTTCAATACTGGCGGGGCCAAAACATTCATTGGAAAATGGCTTCATAAGCAAATTTGAACGATCGAAGACTGTCCGAAGATCTTTTACTTTCGGTTTCCTGTGGCTCCCTTCGTCAACTCACGCCTACATTTGGCCACTCTCGGCTGAACAACATAGGAAGATCACTGACTTTCGATAAGAAACAGCTCTCTACGGGCCTTTGGCGTGTACTTGGCTAATTCTTGGAGGTAGCATCGGAATGAAAAATAAATACATAAACGATTATTGAAATTAAATGAAATTCAACCGCTCCACCTTACTTTTGCAAATCGAGCTAATACGTCGTTCAGGAGTGTGAGGGATCAATGTATAGCGGAATATACTCCTTAGATACCCTTTTATAGGTCAGCGAGCATAAGTTTAAGATCGGAAGCTCTTGTGGTCTGTAACGCATGAAATGTTACAAGAAAAATTGACACATGTCAAAGGAAATAACACAAAAACATTCATCGAAACATTGACCTTTGATTTGGACCTTTTCTCCGATCTCATCAATCTACATTCCTATACAAACAAATCACATGCAAATATAGATTCTTTTGACCTAACAACCTGATTAATTGGTTTTAATTTCTTGTCGGCCTAATCAAGATATGACAAAATATCGTTCATCATAACATCTCAACAATATACACATCTAAGATCTGATGAAACTGCAGTCTCTTAGTCTATAAGGAACAAGGCCGGACGGATAGACCAACGGCAAGAGCGATATACGTCCACAGTTCCATGTTGGAATAAAGGGCAGCATATTATCTTTCTGGCAGCGTCCGAAGAAAAAATACATGTAAAATTCGTGGGAAAATTTGGGCAAACTTGTCTGCACCATTCCCCCAGGCCTTCGGCCATATACTCCTATGACTGAATTGGTTGAAAAGAGTTGTAATTTTTACTGTAGTTCATGAATTTCGATACCCTATAATGTTTTATCACACACAACACAAGATTGTAACCTTTTAGATCCAGCCCTGTAGGAACTTTGACAGTTTATTCGCGAATCTTTAGTCATGTTTTCAAAATGATGGAAACGAAAGCATACAAGATTTTGGATGCTTACAAAAATGAACATTATACATAATAAAGTAATCGTTACATACCTTCATATGTTGAACAGGAAAAGAAAATTCATAGGAATAAACTTGACAAAACATACATAAAACATATAAATTAGTACTGAGGTGAAACATGATGGCTTTAAAAGCGTGGCGTGAAGTTTATGGTGTGGAATGAAATGGAATAATTCCTCGTTACTTTATTGATGTATTTATACAGGTACCTGTCAATCACGTGACTTTTAAGAAACCGTGATAAACCGTACAATATCGCAGAATCTTGGCTGGTACGTCTGGCGTATTTTACAGCAGTAAATATCGGATTATAGCACATAATTGATTTCGGTGGATGATTAGGTTTGTACATTATTGTAATTAAGAAAAACTGTGAATCTTGCAAACCAACTGTTGACCCGAACACAATGAAAACAAGAATAAATGGAAAGTCTAATATATATAATTATATATAGTAATTATTATCAAGCAGTATATTAAAATTGAGCT